TATTTCAGCCACTTTGGTTTGAACTGACAGCCGGTGATGCCGACAAGAAAGCAGCACCTCACAGACACAGGCACGGGAGGTGTTTCCTCGTTTGCTCACCCCCTAACACACAATGCACCTTCCTCACCTTCACAGGAACCGGAGAGAGGGAGAATCTGGACTTTGTGAATCACACAAATACTCCTGCAAAATGAGATGGAGGTAAACCGAGATCCAACTTGCCCTGTCAAGGGGAGGTAGTTCATAGTCACCTTCTCTCTATAATGGATGTCCTGACTGAACACAACAGAGTATGACGCGGCCTAGACACTTTAACGGGTGATCAGTATAGGGAAACTGCGAGATTATGACTGGGAAAACCAGGGAAAGTGACCTGCTTTGAAGAGGTTGTCTGAAATTTTCACAGAGAAGCATATGTTTCCAGCATAAGTTTCACAGAGAAGATTAATTTTCACAGGGAAAGCATATGTTTCCAGCATAAGTTCCCTCTTGATTCCAAAGCTGGTACTGATGTGTGGGGTGCCTGAAGAAGCTATTGTAAAAAGAGAAGAGGAGAAGGAGGAGGAGAGAGAAAAGCCAAGACAAATGGAAAATATAGTAAGACTTCATGAAAGGTTCTCTGAGCCAAAGCAGTCAAGACAAAAAGCAAGCTCTCCGAACAAGCAGTGTTGAAGACAGCAACAACAGCCTTGCAAAAAATCACAAATCATTCACTGCTGAATACCCACTGCTGAGGGCATTCTGCTTATTGATTTTATACCTGCTGCTTTCAAGATGGGAACTGCTTGCTGCACAAATTTGTACGGGAAATAGAAGACAAGAGAGGCTATAGGAGACAGCACCCAAATATGGGTGTGCTTGAAATCTGAAATGAGCCCTGAACATAATCTAGACATTGTGGCATATGGATCTTACAGTTAAGACATTAAATAAAAGATAAACACAAAGGAATTCGGAATCCTCCTATCTCCCTTCTTTATAATTCACCAACTATGTAAAAGTGGTGCCATTCCATGGCACTGGGAACCAACATGACAGATTCTTCAGCAGTGTTAAGGGACCAGATAAACTTGTACCGAGGACTGGCCTGCCAGTACTGAAGCAGTTAATAGGCATATCAGATAAATGGGGCTCAACAAGTTGTCAGCTGCAGCTCTTACAAATCACCATGCTGTCAGTTTTGATTGATGAGTCTGCAAACACAGGAAAAATCATGGGTTTGGCATGGAAATAGAGCTTCTATCCTCTCTACACAGACTAATTAAACAAATTTGTTTTGTATCAAAATGTTTACTATAAGCAGCTTGAGTATATTGAATATATGAGTTTCGTTAAAAAGAGCAGTGATATGCAAATTTTTTACTTCTCTGAACATAATTAAAAATACAGAAAACATTGGTTTAGGTCCACCCACCCACACACACAAACAAACAAATGTTTTCTCAGATAAATTAAAGGATCATTTTATGTTGTAGGAAGAATTCTGTGGTACCCATTTCAATGTTAGGAGATTTTAAAGGAATTAAAAAAAATGTATTAAATTATAAAATTGAATTTAGGCCAATTTTAAACACAGCATCAATTTAAATTAACTGTTTGGTTTAGGGAATACTTAGGAAGATCATTCTGACCTTCCACTCTGCTTCTGCCCTAAAGTCTATATTGAACTCAACACTGTTAATTTTCAGATATTTAAAACCTTTTTTTCAGTGAGTAATCCATATTTGTGCAAAAATGTTCCAGTGCATTCCTTGAGAAGTAGACAGGCATCCTCAATAATTACTTCTAGTCTACACAGAGCTCTCCTGTGCTGGGATCAGATTCCACTACTTAACATTCCAAATGGCACTGAAGATACTCCAAGAAGTTGAAGAACACGTGTGAACCTAATGACCACATTTCTGACAGGACTGTGCCACCGCTACAGGGCTGACAGTGTCCCTCTTCTCAGCTGTATTCCCACCAAAGTGTCTCCTCTTGGTCATTCATGACCAATTTAGCAACGGATCAGGCCCCAAAATTCACTGTTGGAGTTACCACAACAGCTCACAAACATATTTTACAACTTATTTACTCAGTGTTTGCAAAGCACTTTGAGTGCAGTGGAGCAGGAGGAGTTACGTAAGGGATGTGGGGTTTTGCAGGCAGGGCAGTACAGGCCTGACTTTGGAAGACTTTCCTCTCCTGCCCTGCTGCTTTTGCATTGACTCACAATGGTGAGCCATTAGGGATTCAAATTCAGTCCCTAACAGCATCTGGAGCATTTCAGTAAGGTTTAATTTGTCCCCAAACACCTCTCTTCCCATTGCAGCTAGCTGGATGAAGACAGATTAATTTCTGAAGAAGTGTAAACTGGATTGCTTTAGACTGACCTGGATTTTTTCATTTTGTGAACACTCTCTGTGTGGGAAAGTGTGATGAGCCTGACTAAGTGACAAGCAGCCAAGGACTATCCTCATTTACAGCACAAATCTAGATCATGCTCCACCTCTCTAAAAGGATGTGGGGCACTAAGGGGCCCAGGAGCCCAGATTGCCCTTTGGGAGCAAAGAGACACCATTGAACACACGGCTACAGCCAGCACACTAACTCTGTACTGTCGCTTCTGTCATTCTCTCTGAGAGACTCCCTGTAAGAGTCTAATACTCTCATAAAGATCCAAATCATTTTAAAGAGGTGCAATCATTTAATTGGGAATGAGTTCCTCAGGAAGTGCTAAAGACCATTTATGTTTAGAAACATGCAAACAAATGGCATTTTTCTTTGAAAATGTTGAATGAAATTCCTCTTTTCAAGAGTGATTGACACAAATGGTGTTTTAGCAGTAATTCAAAAAGATTCATTTGGTAAGATGCATTCTCACTGTCTGTGGTCAATCGTAGAACAGAGCACAATTATCTCACTAAAGATTCGGTGAAATGTTTGATTTCTAGTGCACGTCCCAGCATGTTACCACCCTCATCACAACGAGCTGCAGGCAGCCCTCCTCACTGCATTGTTTGTGTCCCAGCAGGAGGCTCTCAGACTTCCATCCTTCTATCCACCAATCCACCACTCCAATAAGCCTTTAAGGCTTCCCAGCAGTTACTGGAGCTGTAGAGAAGGGCAGGTTTAAGGAAAGACCTTGTTGTTCAGTACAGCCTCGCTTTTCCTTAGACCTGATTCTTACTGCTTCTGGAGGAGAGGCGCTCACAGCTCAGGAGGCAGGACTATCCTCCCTGCTGCTGGAGAAAAATCTTCCAAACAAGTCGCTAAGCGGCCCCATGTGTTGTGAAATGCCGTGCGAGGGCCCCAGCAGGTCTTCGGCCGCTCTCAGACGGGCTCGGTGTGCCATCTAGTGACAGGCACGTCTTCCCTTCCTCACCCTGCCCCGTTCTTGTCCCTTCCCTACGCAGTGAGGAAACCCAGGAGCTTTGATGAGATGTGCACGCTAGAAGGCTTTGCCAGCTCAAGACCATACTGAGCACATCTTGGCAGGCCTGTTCCATGGGCTGTTAAGTCCTTCCAGCTAAGCCTGGAAGAGGCCAGAAATACACTTTTTATATAACAAAAGCAGCATGAAAAGTCAGGTGATTACTTCTAATTTTCCCTTTTCATCCATTAAGTACCGTCCTTCCTTACAGACCTGCTAGTTTCATTTCCAGTCCCAACAGGCTGAGTACTTTTTTAAAATGAAACTGGTAACACTTTAAAATATTTTCAGGTTCTTAAGACCTTGAGGTTAATACAGCCCCTTATTAAATTACAAAAAGTATCAATCAATCAATCAATCAATCATACTTTCTAAAAAAATCTTAACGGCTTATAATTTACCTGAGTACACTGTGGGGAGAGCACCTGACCAGGGCAGCTTTTACAGCATAAGATCTATTACAGTTTTTAGTATCAGAGAAATTGTGTCTGTGTTTTGCATGCTGAATAGGAAGGTGACTACAACCCAGGTTCTACATTATTTCCACAGCTGCCTGTTTCTCTATTCATAACTGAATCAAGACTGCATGGTTCTAGAAAACCAGAGCATAATGGTTAACAGGAAACTACATATAAAAAATCCAAGAGTTTGACTGTTTATAACATTCATTTACTCCAATAGTTAGATCAGTTCAGTTTGAAGACTTGGATTTCCCATTATACTTTTGCTGGATGATGGAAGGATAAACAAACCAGGTGAAATCCACTGGTGATGTGATAATGTACTGAGAGTGGTCATGTAATAGCCGGCCCACAAAGGCCAGATTGCACTGTTGCAACGAATGGAAATCACACAGCAAGATTTGACTTCTGAAAGTATAAATACAGGCTGAAGAGAAATCATTACTGTCTGGTTGCCTGTCTATGCATAACAGCCTTTACATACTTTTTTTCCCCTGAGTAGGGATTTTTCATATTATTTCCACTAATTTATTTGTAACAAATGATGCCCTTCCGTGCTAAAAGGATGCAACGCTAGAGTGAACAACAGCCCTTAGTTCAGTGATAAAGCAGCCACGCTTAGCATCACCGTTACTAGTGATGCTGTTAAGGTCGCTGTCACCGATTTACACCAAGGCAAGCAGTGGTGGGATTCCTGGATTCTCTCTGGGGCTCTGAGTAGCGTGTCATCTAGTGCCAGCGTTTACAGGTTTGGATTTTGAACGCCTTGGCAGGCTGAGAAAGGGAACAGCAGGCTTGCGGTTGTTAGCGCCGCTGGTCCTCTTCCCAGCACGCTCAGGAATGAGGATACAAAGCACAAACCCGCCAGCAGAAGAGGCGAGTGTTCTGTGAGGTGCCCCGAAGCAGCGGGAGGTCGGGACACCCCCCCCTCCCACCTGCTCCTGAGGGGATTCTGGCGGCACCATCTCACACCGCCTCCCCCATACACACCTGCCAGCCTCGGGACGCTGCAGCAGCGACTGGGGCCCTTTCAGGGGGGCTGAACACAGGGGGGCGGGTATCGCACCCCCTTAGGGG